CCAAGGTTGAGTAAGGACAGTGTTGACATGTAGTGGGGTTCTTAACCATTGTCATAGGGCAATATGTGTACTAACTGTTTAATGAGAAACTATTTTGTTCTGTAGACCTTCATCTAAAGTGAGAATAGCAGCACAACTGGAAGAACGCAATTGACATAACTGAATTGTACATGTAGAAATTTTTGAAATGGTGTATCTTTAGCTATGTGTATTTTCACCAAAAAGAAAAAAAGGGTCCTCCAAGGCCGAGAAGGGAGCATGTTGACATGTGGTGGGGTTGTTAACCAATGTCATAAAACAATATGTGTACTGACTGCTTAATGAGAAAATATTTATTCTGTAAACCTTCACCTAAAGTAGAATTAAAAAAAAGAATACATTTTGAACACCTGCTCTGGGTAAAGCACCATTTAAGGCATGTGAGATAAAGAGATGAATAAGATAGTGCCTGTCTTCAATGAGCTCACAGACTAACAGAGAAGAATAAGGATTTAAATACATAATTGCAATATAGTCCAGTAAGGGATTATTAGTAACTATCACAAAGAATGCTGTGATGATTAAATGAGTTAACATGTGCAAAGAGCTTGTAATGCTTCCATACCAATACCAGCACCAGTTGCTGTTGAGTCGACTCCTACTCATGGCAACCCATGTGTCTCAGAGTAGAACTGTGCTCCATAGGGTTTTCAGTGGCTGATTTTCCAGAAGCAGATCACCAGACATTTTTTTCTGAGGTGTCTCTGGGTGGATTCGAACTGTCAACCTTTCAGTTAGCAACTGAGTGCATTAACAGTTTACACCACCACAGACTCCAATGGCCACATAGGAAGCACTATATAAGTAGTTGCTATTATTATTGTTATTATTGTTACTATGGTAGAGGTAAGTAAACACAAGACACTATGGGAACATAGAGAGGGATATCTGACCCAGGCTAGAGTAAGAGGCATCTGAGCTGAGCCTTAAAGGTTAAGGAAGATTTAACCAGAGGAAGAAATGGAGGCAGGGAATTCTGCATAGAAGGAACAGGCTGCATTCAGGTTTGTAAGCAAAAGATAACATGACATGATTAAGGAAATGAAAGTAACTAAGTTCTGCAAGAGTAAAGGAGGAGGGGGATAGCAAGAGATGAAGCTTGAGAAATCATGGAGTGCAAACAAGTTTGAATTTTATCCTTTAGCTGATGGGGAGCCACTGGAGTGTTTTATGTAAAGTAGTGACTTGATCAGAGTAATGTGTTGAAATATAACCTTGGCAACAGTGTGGAGGATGAATTGGAGGAGGGAAGATGGGGGGAGGGGAGCAAGACCAGTTAGGAAGCTGTTGCTCTATTCCAGGTGAGAGAGGACGGTGAAGCCCTGAACTAGGGAAATCATCGTGGGGATGGGGAGAAGGCAGTAACGGATTAGAACTATATTCAAGAGGCAGAATTGGTGGGACATAGTGACTGTAGGATGAGAGGGATAAGGGAAAGAGAGGTGTCAGGGATCACTTCCAGGATTTTTGGTCCAGCACAAGAGGATATGTAGAGGTACCATTCAGTGACACAGGGAAACCAGGGAAGAACTGTTTGGGGAGGGTGGTGATGGGGAGGTGATGAGTTCTCTTATGACAAGGTTGAATTTGAGAATTCCAAGTACATTTTTAATAGATGATTGCTCTATCAATCTTGAAGCTCAGAGGAAGGTCTATGCTAGAAATACAGATTTGGAAATGCCAGTGGATGGGTGGGAGATTAAGTCATAGTAGTGGATGAGACTGCTCAAGAACAGTGCCGACTGAGAAAAGGATAGACTTCTGAGGAATACTCACATTTAAGAAATGAGTAGGGAAAGAGAAATCTTGAGGGAGGCTAAAATGGAAGAGCCAGATTGTGGTGGAATGAAGAATTAGTAGGCTGGTGGGTCTTGTAAAGGATGAGGATAAGGATGTGCCCTTGACTTGTAGTGTCCTGAACCTTGGCAAGAGTGGGAGCTCCGTGAATACTGCAAAATCCAGGACAGCTCTGATTCCAAATGATTGGCTTGGATGCTTGCCTCTCACAAAGCCCTCTGTTCTAGGGCTTTCCTTTCCCCTTTCTGCCCTAGTGCTCCTGATAGATGGCCCAGGGAATTGCAGGACTTCCTCCAGACCCTAGAACAACCTTTGTTTCAGAGTCCTCCCACATCAACTGAGAGGCCTAGGGCTAGTGGGGACATCTATTAGGAGACCAAACAGGAAAGTTCTGGGTATGTTATACACACAGGAGGCCTTAGGCTAGCCTGGTGGCGGGTGCGGGGGGCACGGTTGGGTAGGGCTGGGAGGACCAGAACTCTCAGAGTTGTGGACCAAAGGCTTTGTTGCCCATCCCCAGCTTCCCTGGAGTAGATTTCTATCATGGCTGACTGACCCAGGTCTAGGCCAGTGCTATCTAGGTCCTTGGAGATGTAGGAGGTCCTTAACAAGCTTGAGTCCAAAGTAGCATCCTAGGAACTGTTCCTCCTGATCCAGTGCTCTGGAGTTTGACCTCAGTCTGCTCTTGAGGGACCCGGCAGCACTGTTCTTGGGCAATGTGTTAAACAACAGGCTTTGGAGATAGAGCTGTGCCAGACCTGGAGTTAGCACAGCTACCACCACTGCAACTGCGACTGCCATCACCACCTTCTCGGAAACCAGCCACTTTGTCTGGCCCCTGGTTTTGTCTGACTGCCAACCTAAGGCATGTACCTACGCAGGAGGCGATGACATTTTGGCTCCACTTTCAAAGATTTTTTTTTTTTCCTCGTGTTATTTTTCAAGATAACAAAGGTCAAAAGGCATCCAGCGTTTTCTGGTTTCTCATAAGCTTCTGGTCAATATTTAATCTGGTTTATGGATTTTTTTTAGGTCTTCTAGATGCCTTCTTGAGCTTGTTTGTGGCCACCCACAGACACTTGTAAGGAGGAGAGAAGTCGGCCTGGTAGAGACACTCTGAAATAAGGGATTAGAGGCCGGGATCCAAGCAGTAAGCGCTGCAGCCAGAAGACGAGTGAGCAGACCGTGAAGACACTTCTACTGAGACGTCTGCCATGGCCTCTCTTGGCCTCCAACTTGTGGGCTACATCCTGGGTCTTCTGGGACTTTTGGGCACCTTGATTGCCATGCTGCTCCCCAGCTGGCGAACAAGTTCTTACGTTGGTGCCAGCATTGTGACAGCAGTTGGCTTCTCCAAGGGCCTCTGGATGGAATGTGCCACTCACAGCACAGGCATCACCCAGTGTGACATCTACAGCACTCTTCTAGGCCTACCTTCTGACGTCCAGGCTGCCCAGGCTATGATGGTAACCTCCAGTGCAATCTCCTCGCTGGCCTGCATTATCTCTGTGGTGGGCATGAGATGCACAGTGTTCTGCCAGGACTCCCAAGCCAAAGACAGAGTGGCGGTAGTGGGCGGAGGCTTCTTTATCCTTGGAGGCCTCCTGGGCTTCATCCCTGTTGCCTGGAATCTTCATGGGATCCTGCGGGACTTCTACTCCCCATTGGTGCCCGACAGCATGAAATTTGAGATTGGAGAAGCACTCTACTTGGGCATTATTTCCTCCCTGTTCTCCTTGGTAGCCGGAATCATCCTCTGCTTTTCTTGCTCATCCCAGGGAAACCGTTCCAACTACTACGATGGCTACCAGGCCCAGCCCCTTGCCACCAGGAGCTCTCCAAGACCTGGTCAACCACCCAAAAACAAGAGTGAATTCAACTCCTACAGCCTGACAGGGTATGTGTGAAGAGCCAAGGGCCAGAGTGGGGGGTGGCTGGGTCTGTGAAAGCCAATGGACAGTCCCCCAGAGCCACAGGTGAGGGACATTTGCCACTGGATCATGTCAGAAGGTGCTGCTGAGGATAGACTGACTGTGGCCATCGGATCAAGCAAAGGCAGAAAAGGGAGCTGGTGCGGCAGCGTGCAGGTTGAAATGTCAAGGATGACTGCCAAGCCAGGCTTTCTGTTTTTATCACTTTGCCCCTCACCTCCCACCCTGAATCCCCAACCCCCAACTCCAAGCCCTACCCCTTTACCCTAGGCCAGGCCCCCAGAGACTCCCCTCTGCCCTTTTTGTTTACTTGGGAATCCATCCAAAAACCCACTAACTGCATTCCACTGACTGACCCTCTCTGTGATCAAAGACCCTCCTCCCTCTGGCTGAGGTTGGCTCTTAGCTCATTGCTGGGGGTGGGGAGAAGGAGGAGCGGTGATTTTATAGGCACTGCTCTAACCTCCTTCTCAAGCCTCCCTCCAAAGAAACTGATTGGGCCCTGGAGCCTCCATCCCACTCTATTATGACTCCAGTGTACAGAGTGGTTTGTGCGTGAACTGAAATAAAGTCATCCCGTGGCATCCAGGGAACAGAGAGCAACTGGGTGCATGATGAGAGGGAAGAAAGGCAGCCTGGAACAAAAAGGACCGGAACCACTGCCCAGGACATTTCCCAGAATTCTCTCACACTCCCAGGTCAACGACCAGACCCTACCCAGGGCTAGAGGAAAGCAAAAGGAAAGAAGATATGGTGGAAAGCTAAAGGCGGCAGCAGACTCTGATTCCTCAGAGGACCTGCCTCAGAAGCTGCAGCCCCAACTTTCACTGAAGCCCTTTCCTCCCTCTGGGGCACCTAACCTTGTCTCCTGCCTAAATGACATGCCAAGAGCCCTAGACAATGATTTCCTTAAGAACAGGAAACCAGTTTTTCTAGAGATGGTCCTTGGCTGGGGGATGACAGCACAGAAGCTGGGGGAGACTGAGGAAGATACCACTCCTTCTCGACGCTGGCTGAGAAAGAATAAGAACTTTGGTATTTAAGAAGCTGAGTGGACATTTGCGGTGGCTCCAGTGGGTGCTTCTGTTGGACCAGAGAGAGGCAGCCCCCCAGAGAGCCTGCAGGCCTAATGGAAAATCTGCCCAAAGGCAAGATAAGGCCACCCGGGGTCTACCCACAGAGCACCACAGAGCCTCTGAAAGACCGCAGCACCAGGTGGGCCCCGTCACACACCACACTTCCCCAGCATCCCTTCACAAGACCTTTCAGCATTCAAGGATTCCAGTGTGAGACATTCATGCCCAAGGTGCTGTGCCCATGACTGAGTGATAGTTGGGCTGCTGCCTGGAATTGCGGTTGAGGTGAGAGAGTAGAGAATGGTTCCCAGGCAGACAGTTCCAGCTCTAAAGTCTGAAAATGCTCTATTTCCTCTGGGTGAGGGGGTCATAAACAAGCCAAGGGCATTTTTCCCTCACTAGCCTAAACATGACCAGCTTTTAAAAAACTCCAGTACCCTTCCCAATACCTCATGCCAGCAGAAGGGGCCCATTCATTGTTGCTAACATGCCTTTCACATTTCCACCTCTTGCCTATGCTCAAGCTATTCTCCCAATCTGGAAGGCCCCTTCCCCTTAGCCAAGTCCTCCTCATTTTGGAGAATTTGCTCAGCACCACCTTCACTGAGCCTTCTCTGACCACTCCGTCCTTCCCCTACCCCTCTCTTCTCCTGCCCTCAATGTATAAATCGCTTATTTGATGCTTATCATTCACAACTTTTGATTGACAGTTATTTTTTTTCATGTGTGTCTGTCTGATCTAATAAGTACATTGTAAACTCCTGGAGGGCAGGGACTATATCGTAGAGCTCTCTGTATCCCCCAGACTGTCTGTAAGAGTGCTGAGCACACATAGGTGATCAATAAACAATCGCTGATTGAGTAAACTGTTTCACTGATTCAAAGGGGTCCAGACAGGGCAGGCGTGACTGAAGGGAATTGGGCTAAGGGGAGGGCAGGATGAAAGCTGGAATTTCTCTCCCCTGGGTGGATAGAAGGAGCCCTGATGGCGCAGTGGTTAAGAGCTAAGGCTGCTAACCAAAATGTGGGCAGTTCAAACCCACCAGCCACTCCTTGGAAACCCTATGGGGCAGTTCTACTCTGTCGTATAGGGTCACTATGAGTTGGAATTGACTCGATGGCAATGGGTTTGGTTTGGTTTTGGTTTCGGGGTGGATAGAAAATTCTAAACTTTACTGGAAAACATTGAGAAAGCAAGCTCTCCACCCTCCTCCTGGAAACCCTAACCTCTTCATCTTGCCCAGGACCCCACCCCCTTTTCACAGTAATTGTTTGATTTAATTTATTTACTTAATGGGTATTTGTTTATTTCTTTTATTCTCTGAACCACCATTATGAGGAAGGTGAAATAGATCTGAGTCTCTCCACTTGGCAGATGGGGAAGCTAAGGCCCATAAAAGTAAAGAGATTTTCCCAGGGCCACACAGTTGTCATTAGTGCCCCAGTCTCCTGACTCTCAAAATAGGACCTTGCTAATGCAAGCATATTCACAGGCAATAGGAAGAGCCTGTCAGGGTGCCCCAAGCTCCTGAGGAAAACAATAACTTATGACCAGCAAGGTAACAATGGGGGCACACAGGCTCTCCTGGTCTCTCATGAGGAAGATCTAGGAAAGCAGGAGCAATTCACCAAAAGCACCACTAGAACTGCCCCTCTTGCTGTGCTAACTAACTGGCCAATCTGGACCCAGCCAGGTGGCCAACCAGGAGGGCTGCCAGGCTTACATTCTAATAAGACACATCTCAGTTGCAATTCCTTTAACTCTGGAGGCGTGGGAGTTTGGAAGGCTGATGATTTGGCCTTGGTCTAAACCTCACTGGGAATTGACAAAGCCTAATTCCTAAAGAAGAGACCTGGTAACACAGTGGTTAAGCACTCAGTTGCTAACTGAAAGGTCGGAGGTTCGAACCTACCAGCCACTCTGGGGAGAAAGATGTGGCAGCCTGCTTCTGTAAAGATTACAGCCTTGGAAACCCTATGGGGCAGTTCTACTCTATCATATAGGGTTGCTATGAGTTGGAATCAACTGGATGGCAATGGGTTTGGTTTTTGGTTTTGGTTTAACTCTTAAAGGTTTTAACTGTGGCAGCACTAACTATAATTGTGTCCTACACGATTCAGCTTCACCTGGCCTAGAGAACCCACTGAGGTTCACTCTCCTGAGGATGTTCAGGTACCTAGGAGATGGTTATCAGACACCCTTGTCATACCAGACACTTCCTTTGCCCTCCTGAAGGGGGCTTTCTTTTGTACAAACATCCAAGCTCATTTAGAGGGCATGGCAGCTGGCAGGAATACGGGTGGAGAGAAACGGCTCTCTGTACAGGAGCTTAACAAGAGGTCATGTCTCTGGTCTGGCACCCCAGAACCCTTGCTTGAGGAACACTGGAGGTTGGAAGATGGGGTTGCCTTGCTGATTAGCTGCTGTGCTTAGTGTGCAGCAGCCTGGTATGGGCCTTGATGACCACCACAGGGCAGCCAATGTACTTTCAGATCCACCAATTTCACTGCATCCTCCAAATACTTCAGGGAAGTAGGTCTTCTACAGGAGACAAAATGGAGGCCCAAAGAGGTGAGTAAATTCCCTAAGGTCACAAAGTGTCAGGGTATGAACATAAGTTTGAGGCTCTTCCCACAGAAATATGGGTCTGGGATTCTAGTCTCAGAGGATGTATGAGGGACTGTTGCTCTTCAAACTCCTCCAGTCCTCCTAGCTCTCTGTATCCCACTAGAATGAATACCTTTGAAGGAAAAGTTGCTGTTGTTGGGTGCCATTGAGTCAATTCTGACTCATAGTGGCCCATGTGACAGAGTAGAACTGCCCCATAAGTTTTTCTTGGCTGTAATCTTTAAGGAAGCAGATCACCAGGTCTTTTTCTAGCAGAGCAGTTGGGTGGGTTCGAACCACCAACCTTTCGGTTAGCAGTCGAGCACTTAATGTTTGTGCCACCAGGGCTCCTTTGAGGGAAATAGTGCCCTTCACTTTATGATGAGGCTGGCCTGAGGGGGTTCACCTCCCTTTGCTTATCCAGGAAGATTCTATGGAAGGAGTTAGAAGTTCATCCTCAACTAGAAAAATCAGGGCAAATTTGACAAACAGCAACTGTCTTCTTTGGCTGGTTGAGCAAGGAAAACAATATTCTAAGTAGTTTCCTAGAAACCCTCCTGAGTATAGGTCCAAGTTGAATAGCTTTCAGGTCGCCCCATTGCCTTCCATCATAAAGTAATTTAGATTAGCCATGGGCCAAGGAGATAGTGAGGTCATTGTGTTTGTGTCCCAGCCTCATAGCTCTGACCCTTGCACAAGGAGAGAGATATCTGCCTTCCTTCATTCTTCTGATAATAGTGTGACTCATAATTTCCTCCCCCACCCCTTGGAGCCCCAGTGCCCTACTGCTATGTGATCATTACTGCGGGGGAAATGCTGCAAATAGCTTCTTAGTGGAAAGGCAGGCTCCAACTTTCTGAAAAACCATCTAGTAAATCAAACAACCACCTGACCATCAAACCAGCCATCTCACATTAACTGAGCTATTATTCTGTGTCAGGTAGTGTGCTAAGGACTTTGATGGTGAAAGTGGTGAACAAGGTAAGTCTGTGCCTTGTAGGAGGTGACAGTTGATCTAGGAGAGATAAGACATGCACACCTAACTGTGGTACAAGGCAGAATATGGTCTGTACTGTGAGATAGGAGTAAAGTGATACAGGACAGTAGGGGCATCAGGGGCTAATAAAAAGTTATATACATGCCCTCAATTCTCAATCCATATGAAATGAGAGCCTGGAACTACTTGAGCTGCTGAGGGAAGGATGATCAAAAGAAACGGCTTCCTCTAGCTGAGAAACTATGGGAAATAGAGAAATAGGGTAGAGAGCAGTGTTCAGGAGAAAAGAAGGATAACTAAGCTAAGCCTGGCACTGTATAGTTAACCCAGAACCACTTTGAGTTTGCCTCACAGGATCCCTCAGTGGCTCTAAGGGAGTGCATGATCCTAGGGCTCAGTCTCTCTTCCCTCATCTCCTTCCTTTAGGCAGGTCTCTGGAAATTGCTGGGGGGCAGTAGAAGCAGTGCCCATCAAGGTAGCCTGTGGCCTTTTGGCTCTAGACCAGAGAAGAAACACAGGCGTGAGAGAAAGAGAGGAGAGAGTAAGGGCTCTGTGCTGAAGGATGGCAAATGAGGCCTTGGAGGGTCAACTGTTCCCTCCCACTCAGCCCTGGGCCCATGGATGGGGGATTCTTTCGTGTCTGCAGCTGCCCACTCTGGGACACAGAGGCCCCAGGCTGGGAAGTGCATGTGCTCCTCCTCAGCTGGCTGAAGCCTGGCCTTCACCCAGCCTGGCCTCCCTGCCCAAGCGGCTTCTGGCTTTGATGAGAAAATCTGTTATCTCAAGAGGGTGAAAAACCTCAAACAGGAAGTCCAGTAGGTTATCTCTTTCTTGCCCTAAGTGGTGGCTCACTAAATGCTGCGATGTGATCACTGATAAAATATTAACAGGCTGTTATCAGACATGGTGATACAGAGGCTGTAATCTGACCACTCTATCCACCCCACACAACCCACACACTT